ACTTTTGTGATAGCATACTGTTAGTATAGTTTTGGTAATATTATACTTAAAATTATTTTTTTCTTGAAATACAATATTAATATTTATTGCATGTAATATATTTAAGATAGTTTTTCTTGAATTATCAGTGTTTAATGCATGTGACATTATATTTAAAATAGTTTTTCTTGAGATATTATTTATTGCATGTATTCATATATTTAAAATATTCTTAAAATATTAATGTCTTTTGCATGTAACATATTTAAAAGTTTTTCTTGAAATAAAAAATAAAATTTTAAAAAAAGGTCATGCACTTGAAGACCCAGAAAAGACAGAAGAGGAGAAAGTCATGTGAAGCTGGAAGCAGAGATTGGAGTGATGTGTCTACAAGCCAATGATTCACCGTGAAAACATCACCAGAAGCTGGGAGAGAGGCATGGAACAAATTTTCCCTCTGGGCCTCCAAAATAATAATGATAATAAAAAAAAAAATAATAATAATAATAATAATAGAAGAAGAATTAGGTAAGTATGTCCTTCCATTTTAATTCTTCATAAGAATTTCACCAACATGTGTAATTTTCCAGAATTTGGGCAGAAGAAAAATCTAATTGTTCAAAGTATTCCAAGTCTGGTTCTCAAAATTCATAGAACTTTTCTGACTCTGTTCTAGTTTGGCCACAGAACCTGACAACTGATATCTTCTCAAAAGTGTAAAGAGCTTCCTAAAACAAGCGGGGCTGGGAGTAGTTCAAGGAGTGCTACATAACCACCCATTCACCCTGGCCTGAGCTTTTTGGTAATTACAGCCAGAAACAAAGACAGGAAGCTGGAAATGAAAACAAGCTTCTTGGCGTCAAGCAAAGTCAGTCACAAAGCCCACATCCAGAGCTGGTAACACCCTCAGATGTCTTACTTTTGAAAAAGACTCAAGGGCTCTTGAGGATAAGACTGTATTTCAGACAATACAATAATCAATGGTCAGAGCAACCTGGAGTCAATAAGTTAAGATTATATCTAGGGTGAATGTTAGAAAATGCACCTTCTTTAACAAGATTTATTTCCAAAATGCTTAAAAGTAGAGATTTGATACTAGGGTTGTTTTGAAAATTTTACTTTCAAAGATTTTCAGATAATCTTGAATAATGAGTTCTTAACTCTCCACACTGAAGAAAAAAAACCCCACACACACAAAAACACCAAGCCAAGACAAGGTCACAGCTGTTCCATCCAAAGAGGGATTTATTGTGAAAAATAAGGAGTCAGAGAAACTAGATTCTAGTCTTTCCTCTGCCAAAAATCAGTTGGGTAATATTGACTTCTCTTTGCCTGGGGTGACTTCTTTGCAAAACAAGGACATTAGACTACTTGATTTTTAAAATCCTTTCCAGTTCTAGTGTTCAAACATTAAGTATGGATATTAAAGGGTAATAGGACAGAAAAGGTAAATCATATTATGCCAATTATCTTTTATGTATTCATTCAACCACCATTTATTGAGGCTCCTATTGAATTGACCCACACAAAACTCTACAAGTACTGGAATAAGTAAAAGAACTCCTCCTTCATGGAGTTTCCTATTTAGTGAGGAAGTCAAGACAATAGCCAAGCAAATAAAATAAGGAAACAAAAGCCTGAGAACACTAGGAAAGACATCTTTTTTAGGTAGGATGGGCAGGGAATGGTACCTTTGGAGAAGTTATGACTGTACCTAAATAATGAGAAGAAAAATATGAAGACTTTATGAAGAGCATTTCAAGCAGAGAAACTTACTAGTGTCTGGGTGCTAAACTGTGAATTTAAGAAACTGGGGGGGGGGGGGGAGATTGTAACAATAAAGCAGGAGATTAGTACAAGAATATTTGAAGAGTAGGTGGGGGCCAGTACAGTTTTGCCTCTGTAAGAATTTCTGGGCTCATTCTTAAGCAGTATAGAGATCACTGAAAGGCTTTAAGTAACACTTGTTGTTATAGAAAATGGACTGGAAAGGGATATATTGGGAGTGGGGAAATCACTCAGGAGGCTGTGACAGGAGTACAGGCAAAGTATAATGGAGGTTTGAGTAGGACACTGCAGTAGGAATTGGAAAAGGGGAGAGATTTAATATACCATGGAGGTAGAGTCAAAAAGGTTTACTACTGGGCAGTTTGTGCCTATTTGAAAGAATGAAAGCAATCAATGTTGAGAAATAATATTGTATTAAGTTATTGATTTGGGGAGAATGTTTTGAGGGGGGATAGAAGAGTTTAGAATAGCTGGGGGAAAACAGAATTGTTTTGGACACGATATTTGTTATCTGGGAGACATCTTATGTAAGCAATGGGCATCCTGAACCCTCTATTCTACTGCTCTTCTTTTGATTTTGGACAAATTACACACCTTTTTTCTAAGACCCACATTATATTTCTCTTTTTATACACACTGCCCAGCATATACCTGGGCATATAGTTGGTGCTTAATCAATGTTTAATAATTTCCTAAAAAATAAATATCTTTTCCCCCCAACGTTACATTTACCCAGGTGCCTTCATCTAGATTAGGGGTGTCGAACTCAATCAGAGAAGGGGCCAAAATCTAAAATCCAGCCTAAATCGCGGGCCGAATGGTTTACTGAACAGTCATAAACTGTCATTGTGATGGAAACGCAGCGGAGTGCAGTGATGACAGCGCGGTGCGGGCCACATTGCAAGGCCTGGTGGGACGGATTTGGCCCGCGGGCCTTGTGTTTGACACATGTGATCTAGATCATAAAATTCCAGATTATTTTAGTCTAGGTTTACATACAGAAACTTAAAAGGGAATACCATTTTGGGTCCAATTCATTGTGCAATCTGGCCAATTGTGTATGTGTGTATTTTCCCTAAGGCTGCTTTTAAAATTTCTAGATTGAATTCCACACTTTGTGATTTACAATGCAAAACTCAAGACACTTAAACTTGGGGAAGTAGGGACCAATTTGCTTGTCAAAGTTATCATAGAACCAGAACACATTACCTGAGTTTCAAAGTTGAGTGGTGCTCTCATTAATTGTGGTCTTGACCAGATTCTCTCTCCAACCCCCCCCAAAATGGTTTAGGGATTATTAAAATGACAGCAGCAGCTTAACTGGCAAAAATCCACAAATATGTTTCAACTTCTGAAAGCCAACATTTTTTATTAGGTTTTTTTGTTTGTTTGTTTGTTTTTTAAATCATTTGAGATTTCTGATTTTTGGGGGATCTACTTTGCCTACTAACAATTTTGTGGTAAATGACTAAAGAGATACTACCTTTTTTTTGGGGGGGGGGGGAGAACTACATAACAATCTGCTAAGTAACAAAGTCTTGCTAATAATTATCCCAGCTTTCCCTACTAGAAAGGCCCCAGAGAATGGCTGGAGAAAGTAAGTATATTGCTTACTTCTTCCTTGTTCTCCCAAAGCAGTACTATTTGCTTTGTATATACATGAAAGTTCGGTGGTGTCCTCCAATAAAGAGCTTACTTTTTTTTCCACTTGGGCATCTCATTCATGGGGAGATGAAAATATACTGTCTTTTAAGTAATTGCTAATGTAAGAGATACTCAGATACCAGGGAGTGCAACTAAGCAAGAGTATAACTCAACTTTCTTCTTTCTGTTTGTTAGGTTTATTATTGGTAATAATTTTTTAAGTTGAACAATTTTATTAGACTAAAACATGCTGCAAAGCTGCTTATAATCTCCTTTGCCTAAAAGTGAGGTCAAATGATATTAAGATACAAAAGATCAGCCTGCTCAATCCTCTTTTATTTCCAGCCAACACTGTCATCAATCCAAAAAGAATTAGAGGATAAAAATTTATAGGCTTTCTCTTCCAATTCCAGTAACTCCCAGCCTATATAGTAAAAGGCTAATATGCAAATTGTCCCCTCATGAGTTTAACCCAAGACCTGGGCTGACCACCTGGTGGTGGCATGGAACATGGCAGGTGACTAGCAGTGGTGGCAGGGTGCTGAGGGAGTGAGGGGAGGAGGAGGAGGGAAAATGCATGGTGATGATGGGCGAGGAGGCAGGGAACCTGATCGCCAGCCAGGCCTAGGGATCCTACCTGTGTATGAATTTTGTGCACCAACCCTCTAGTTGGTAATATAACTGAAATGCTTAACACTCACCTGGCAGACTTAACTGAAAAAAATTTCATGTTGGGCAGTTGAGATAAAATCATGACTAAATATTGGCCAATTCCACCCTCACTTATCTATTATTAGAATTACCTCCAATTAATTTTTCAAATAAAAAACTAGGTGAGTCAAATCCACATTTAAAGTGTAGAAGCCAAATCCCACACCCTCCAAACACTTTGGCTGGGGTAGTCACTAAGGCCTGCAGCTGTGATCCAGATTAGGGAGACTTGCTATCTGCTCTTATTTTCCCACTGAGTAGCAGATGCGCTCTTGTCAGCCAGTTATGCAAGAGCTGATGGGGAGGACAAGGCATTTTAGAAAATTGCTCCAAGCAGCAATTCTTTGCACAATACAGGCATACCTCAGAGATATTGTGGATTTGGTTTCAGGCCACTGCAATAAATCAAGTCACACAAATTCTTTGGTTTCCCAGTGCTGGTACAGGGTCTAGTCTTTAATTTGTAAAAGAAAAAAAAAGCAAAAAAAAAAAAGCAGTATCTGACAAAGTGCAATAAAACAAGGTATGCTTGTAGTCACAGCAAATACTAAACCACTGCAGCTTATATTAACCATTCTCTCATCTGTCCTGGATATATATTTTACAGTTTCTTGAATAATTTACTAAAACTAAGGTCTTATGCTTGGCAAATTAGGTACAATCCATAAATATTGTGCAGTTATTTCTATCACGTCTTCCCTCTTTCAATGGTAAACTCTTCTTATTTTAGGAGCTTCAACTTTCATAAGATATTGGAGACCCTAGTCTACCTTCCCTATTCCTATTTAGGATTTTACTTGAGGGGAAAAGGGAAGTGGAGTGATTATGGTGAAATATGTTTTAAAATTGCAAGTTTCAACCAAGTTTTAAACACATACTTTATGCAGGTTGTCTCAAGCCCTTTAATACGATGATGTGCATTATCATCAGTCTTCCAGGGGGTAGGAGAATAAAGTGTATAATATGTGCAAAGCTTATGTGCTCATGGAATCCTTTTCATGGAATGAATATGCTGTGGGACTGAAATTTTCACAGAATTCAGCAGTGATCTTTAAATCTAATAATAAAATAAAATGGTATAAATGGGATTGTTAAAGAATAACTTTAAACTGAAGATTAAAGCAAAGTGCTATTTTTCCTTAGATTTTTATTTTGTTTACATTTCCCCCTTTAAATTGGTACACTAAACACATTGTAATAAAGTACTGTGATGCCCTGGCTGGTGTGGCTCAGTTGGTTGAGCTTTCTCCCATGCACCAAAAAGTCACAGGTTAGATTCTGGTTAGGGCACATGCTCAGGTTGTGGGCTCAATCCTCAATAAGGAGTGTACAGAAGGCAGCCAATCAATATTTCTCTTCCCTCTCCCTTCCTCTATCAATAAAAACATTAAAAAACACAGTGATATGACATGCTTGTTTTTATAAGCTAGCTTGGTATTGATGAAAAAAATCCTGTTCTGAGTTTAAAACATCCTGCTTAGAAACAAACTTGCAGAATGAGCAAAATTACATGCACTTAGACATCCCTAGCCATAAAATATTTGTGCTTTTGAGATTTTTCCTAAATGGCATAAAATCCTCAAATAATTTCCAAACTTTCCTACTAAAAAAGCCTTCAAAAGCTTAAAAAATGTTACTACTAAAGCAAAGGATGTAAATCAATAATCCAAATAAAGTTTAATTTGTAAAGTGTAACTTCTAAAATGAATTTTCTATATAGAAAAAAGCATGGATAGAGTATAAAATTTATAGTTAGAGCTGAGATTAAACTCTAATTTAGCATGTTTGAGACATACATTGAGACTGAAAAACTTGGCCAAGAGCATTTTCCACATTTACAAAGTACTGGTAAGACTACTACTTGCAAAAAAAATAAAAAAATAAATAAAAATAGAATACTATTTGCCTTGGCTGGGTAGCTCAGTTGGTTAGAACATCGTCCAGTATGCCAAAGTTGACAGTTTGATCCCAGTCAGGGTATATCCAAAAATAAACCAAAGAATCCCATCTAATAAAGAGGTAATATGCAAACTGACTATCTCTCACACACAAGAAGGCTGCCCCCATGTGGTCAAAGATGGCTGTCCTCATGTGGACACAAGATGGACACCAAAAAATGGCCAGCAGGGGAGGCAGTTGTGGGCGACCAGGCCTGTAGGGGAGTTAAGTTAGGGGTGATGGGACTAGCAGAAGGCAATTAAGTGACTGGGCTGGTAGGGGAGGACAGTTACTGGTGACCAGGCCAGCAGATGGGGCAATTGGGGGGTGACTTGGCTGGCAAAGAAGGGCAGTTGGGGGCAACCAGGCCTGCTGGGGAGGGCAATTGGGGATGACCAGGCCTGCAGGGGAGGGCAGTTAGGGGCAACCAGGTTGGCAGGAGAGGGCAGTTAGGGGCAATTGGGCCAGCAAGGGAACAGTTAGGAATCGATCAGGTTGGCAGGGGGGTGGTTAGTAGGTGATCATGTTGGCAGGTAGAAGCAGTTAGGAGGTGATCAGGTTGGCAGGTAGAAGCAATCAGGCAGGCAGGCAAGCGAGTGGTTGGGAGCCAGCAGTCCTGGGTTGTGAGAGGGCAGTCAGACATCCCTCAAAGAGTCCCAGATTGGAGAGATGCAGGCTGGGCTGAGGAACACAGCCGTCCTCCCCACACCACCCCCAAATTTTGTGCACTGGGCCTCTAGTGCATATATAAATAAAATAGCAATTAGATGTTTTCTCTCTCAAATCAATCAATAAAAATCTATTTTAAAAAAGAAATAACTACTTTACATGGTTGGTGTGTTATATTAAAGACTTAGCAAAATGCTGGGCAAGAGCAAATAAAAGGCTCCCAATAATAGTATCTATTAATATTTTTATCACAATTAAACAAACTACCCCACCACAATGTAGTCCAAAATCCTCTCCTGTTATCCAGAACACTTGGCCAATGGAGCATGATCCTGAGATAGCTGAGTAGTAAAAAAAGTAAAATCTACAGACAGGCAATTGTCAATCACTGTATTTTATTACAATACTAGGGGCCCAGTGTATGAATTCGTGCACCTTGAAAGGAACTGTGGGCTGCAAGGCTGCAGTGGGCACAGGGACAAGTCTCAGTCTATCCCATGGAGGGCCCAGGTCCCGTCAGTCAGAAGCCCTCCTCCCGCTGATGCCACTCCCACACGCTGATGGTGCAAAGCGAGCAGGGCCAGCGCCATCAGTGGGTGTGAGTGGTGGCTGCTGCCTCAATTGCCCTGCAGGAATAGGGGGAGATAGAAAAGCCCTCAGGGAAAATAAGGACAGGTGCTGGGCACCAGCAGTGGGTGCAAGTGGCGGCTCCGGCTGCAAGTTCAAGTGGAGCCGGTGCCAGCAGTGGGTGTGAGCAGTGGCTCCATTGCCAGCAGTGGGTGTGAGTGGCGGCTGTTGGCTCTGATCGCCCCTGGGGGAGGTAGAGAAGCTCTGAGGGATGATAGGGGCTGGCAGCCGCTGCTCCCACCTGCTGATGGTGCTGAGAGATCGTGGTCGGTGCTGGATGCAGGCAGTCGGTGTGAGTGTGGCCAGCACCAGCAGCAGGTGCAAGTGCTGGGCGGGAGCAAAGAATTTTCAGTGAACACCAGAGGCTTACCTGAGTGACCGTGACCGGTGCCCCACCTTATTCTGGCACCCCTGCTCACCTGCTCCACCATCCTGCCACGGCTGACACCCACCATGTTCTATGAGCATCCCCAGGTGGGCAGGGCACATCATAGGGACTGGTTGTTTGGCCATTAGGTGTATTTGCATATTAAGATTTTATATGCTGGAAACCAAATCAGTTTCACTGAAAAAGAGATGTTGACAGGAAGCCAGGAAGGCTGGTCAACAACCTTAATTGCTCTAACCTTTAGTTGAAATTTTGTTAGCTGAAGCAGAATCTACAAGTTTCTGTTATTTCCTGCCTAAGGGCTACATGTAAATTTCTGTTTATGTTGCTTAAGATGTCTTCTCCAAAGCCTCAATAAAAGGGGATGGCAGGGCCAGAGCAGGGGTAGTTCTCCCACTAGAGTTGGACTACCGCCTGGCCCCCCAAATCGCCAAATTGAATTTCTTCAAGTCTCTTTTCATTTGTGTGCGGCCCTTCTCCAGAAGCTGAACCCTGAATTGGAACTCTTTCTACGCGGGCCGTGAAAGAAAGTCCTATATTTATATATAAATATATTTAGTGTACCAATTTAAGAGCAAAAATGTAAACAAAATAAGTCTAGGGAAAAATGGCTCTTCCCCTTAATCTTCAATTTATTCTTACTTTAATAATCCATTTACACCATTTTATTATTAAATTTTCAAGAGCATCACTGCTGAATTTCAGACTAAAGAATGAGTAGAAATGACACCAAAAGAGTTAAGCTGAGGAAGTAATACTGATTAAAAAGTTGAATGTAAAATCTACCTTAGCTGGAACTGAACATTGATAGGTAACTTTCTCCAAAGGGAAAATCTAACTTGAATCACAAAGGCTCATTTTTTATATAATCTAACACCATGTTAATTAGAAACTCATGATTTGATAAAAAGTTTTATTTAGTTATATTCAAATTCCAAAATCCTACTGGACATGCTATCTGCCATGTCTTATTTCTCTGAGATAACTATCTACGTTTCTTTTTTTCTTATTATTATTATTATTTTTTTAGTATTTTTTAAAATAGATTTGAGAGAGGAAGGGAGGAGAGACGGATAGAAGCATCAATGAGAAAAAATCATTGATTGGCTGCTATCTGCACACCCCCTACTGGGGATCAAGCCTGCAACCCAGGCATGTGCCCTTGGCTGGAATCAAACCTGGAACCCTTCAGTCCACAGGCTGCCACTCTACCCACTGAGCAAAACCACTAGGGTTCTACATTTCTTAAAAACAAGAAATGAGTTTGCCTGGGATTGAGTTTCAAGAAATAGTTTGGTGCTACTATTAGCTAACATATTATAGTTAGAATACTATACCTGCAGTTCAGAAGTGCTTTGATTGGATTCTATTTTAGAAAGATATTCAAAATAACATTCTTGTAACAGCAAACAATTTTCCCACTTAAAAAAAAATGTTTTTATTGATTTTTTAGAGAGGAAAAGAGAGTGAGAGAAACATTGATGTGAGAAACGTTTATCAGTTGTCTCCCGTAAGTACCCTCACCAGAGATCGAACCTGTAATTTAGGTATGTGCCCTGACTGGGAATTGAACCAGGTGACCTTTTGGATGACGCTCAAGCAACTGACCACTGGCCAGGGCTCTCCCACTTTTTATTTATTTGACATATTGATATTTCCATAAACTTGTAAGTGGAAGATAAGCTGTTCAATAAAAGCCATGTACAATATGTACAATATACAGAAATTATTTAAAAGTCTGTTCATATAATGAATTATTTGAGCACTAACAAAAAATTAAGATACAAATAATTGAATAAAAATAAAACTATCATTAAACCACGAAACACAGAACTGCACTTCATTCCAGGGGGGGAGGGTGGGGGTGGGGGAGTAAACCTCAATCTTACTGTGTTAGAAGAATAAAATACATTTGTCATAGTATACATTATCATATTCCCTTAAAGCAGAGAGTAAAATTTTTAATTAAAAAGTGTTCATTAAGAACTATCTTCATATCACTAGTTACACACCATTCTCTCATCATGCAAACAACTCAGTTATTTCCTAAGGTCTATTTAAGTCAAACAATAAACTAGTAATAGCAAATTAATTAGCAGGCTGTAAATCAGAGTGGTGTAGAAATTCTGCAGTTGCATTGTACTTCCTGTCTATAGTACTGCTATTAAATCAATTTTCTCCACATATTACAAGAAAAAAAAAAAAAGGCATTGGCCGGGACCAGTTTGGCTCCGTGGATAGAGCATCAGCCTGCGGACTGAAAGGTCCCGGGTTCGATTCCGGTTGAGGGCATGTGCCTTGGTTGCGAGCACATCCCCAGTAGGGGGTGTCCAAGAGGCAGCTGATCGATGTTTCTAACTCTGTCCCTCTCTCTTCCTCTCTGTGAAAAATCAATAAAATATATTTAAAAAAAAAAAGGCATTGATAGTCAAAATAAGATTTTCATTGTTGCAACAAATAATAAAATATGTGAGAGAAGGAAGAGTTCCTAATATTACGGAAATCTTTATGATCTATATATATAAAAGCCTAGGCAACCAATCGACCGGTTGACTAGTAGCTATGATGCGCACTGACCACCAGGAGGCAGATGCTCAATACACAGAAAACATGGAAGACTCATGAATCTCAGAGGGGAAGGGACAGGGGGCAAGGCAAAAAGAGATTAACCAAGTATCTTATATGCATACCAGAGGCCAGGTGCACAGATTTGTGCACTGCTGCACCCTCTCACAATCTGAGACCGCTTGGGGGATGTCGGACTGCTGGTTTGGCCCAATCCCCGCAGGCCAGGCCAAGGGATTCCACTGATGCACAAATCCGTGTACCAGGCCTCTAGTCCTTTATAAAGGTAAAGGATTACTGTATGCATATATGTGGAAAGGAGTAGGAAACAAAGGCAGGTGGTTAGGACAGACATATAAAGGGAATGCTGAAACTATACTATTATTATTTTTGTTAAAAAAAAAACTGATCTGAAGTCTTCCAATCAAGTGTACAAAAGAAGAGCTGACATTAGTGCAAGTTTAACCTGATAATTTATTTGTGAATAAAGCTAGTTTTCGTGAGGAAAAAGTTTAATCCTTTCCCTGATAACATAAACAAACTCAAAGGAATTTTAAAGGTAGTAGGCCAGAAAATGCAATAGTAATTCTTGTAATCTTTTTTATTTAAAGAGAAAAATCAAGTTGAAATGTGTTAAAATACTTTTCAGATTGAATATTTATCAGCCTATATAATCTGTTGTTCCAATTGTATTTTTACTTTAAAAAATTTTATATGAGCTATCACATCTAGAAGTGAAGAAAATAAATTAAGTCCCCTCCCACTTCCCAAGATATTATTTAACCTCTAAAGCATAAAGAGCTATGTGATATCTTATACAAATTAACCAGTGTTCTTAAAAAAGTAATGCAGTTTTGGACTGATGATATTATGCTGTATTTGTGGTGAAGTACTAGGCACAATAATATATATATATGAATATATATATATATATATATATATATATCAATTAGGCATTTTCAAGTCTAATTAGTCTCTAAAGTTATTTAATTCTTGGCAACATTGGTATGCATTTTGGTACTTAAGTCATGAATTGTAGATAACAAGAGCAGTATAGTAACGGGTTGTATCAACAATGAGTGTTGAACAAATCTCTTCTATGAACTCTGTGATTTGTTTTGCAGTTGGTCACCTGTAGTAGATCCTGCAAAGATAAAAAACAACAACAATCAATATAATTTGTTGTATATTATCAAGCTGGGAACTCCCTGAGATAAAGTTCCCTTCCACTACCATTGATGATTAACAAATAAAAAGATCTAAAAACAAATATAGTATATTTCATGTAGGTAAAATAGTTTGATATGAAAGAATCTGCATACCCCCTAAATATTCTAAAGAGCAGAACTGGAGTGTCAACTTGGTGACAAGACAAAAAGGTTTCAGACTGACATTTCTGTGAGTAAAGCATAGGTGGATAGCTGAGTTAATTATAACTCAAATACCCAAAGCTATAAAAAGATTAGCGTTTATGGTGTCAAAATTATAAAATATTTCTTCAGATTTTAAATGCCATTAAAAAAAATAAAAACAATAATAAAACAAAGGTCAAGGGAGAGGGAGAAGAATAATGCTAAAAAGTAATGGGTTCTATAAAATCTGGAGATTTTAAAAGCTGATTAATATTTTTTTTAAACAAAAAAAGGGTAGAGGATAAATAAGGAACTTTCTTCTCTGTTTTATTTTGTAGTCTTTTCTATCTTTGTGTACTTTATGAAGCTAGATAGAATATATTCCTATGTAAGTAGTACTTCATCTCCACTGAAGAAAAACAAAGCACTGAGCTAATACAAATTTAAACTGCTTTTAAATGATAAAATATATTTATGTACTGTATGTGTGAAATTTAATTTCTTACAACTAGAGAGACCAAAAGAGCTACTTTTCAAAAGCTGTGGTTTTAAAAAAAGAAATCCCTTTAACCTTTGGCACAGTGTTGCTGGTGCAAGTTCCCATAGGCAAATAAGGTAAGTGTTTGACCAGAGTCATTAAGAATTGATATTGAAAGTCTGAGCAAAACTGGAGTGTCAACTTGGTGACCAAAGAAACATTCATTTTTAATACATCAAAATAAATCACTAAGACATAGGTAAATGGGAAACAAAGGTCCATTAGGAGAAAGGCCAACTAAAAGTGGGTAATAAATTAAAAAAATATATAACAATTATCCAAATAAAGGTTGTTTAAGTCAAATATAAGCCAAGCAGAGTATAGTGTATAAACTGGAAATGAAATGTTGAATAAAGTAAACTGTATCATCCTGGCTGGATAGCTCAGTTGGTTAAGAGCACCAAACTGGTATGCCAAGTTTTCAGATTTGATACCAGGACAGAAATCAATCAGTGAATACATAAATAAGTGAGACAACAAATTGAGGTTTTTTTTCCCCCTCTCTCTCCATTCCTCTGACATCAATAAAAAAAAGTTAAAAAATAAAACAGAAAACCAACTACATGAAAGGCTAAATAAAGCCTAATATGGAATATAAAAAAAATATTGTAATATTTTTATTGTGACAGTTATCAGATTCTATCACAGAGTCACTTATATTTCACATATGCTCAGCAAAACAATATAATGGTTTACTTTCCTAAGACTTAGCCATCCAAAGCACAACAAATAAAGTTATGTCTCCACTGAAAAGCATGTTTGCAACTATAAAAGGTAGGTAAACAGGCACAACATCTACATTAGTGGTGTAGAAGATTCACCTTCATGGAATATCAAAATAACAGCTTGTTAAAAATAAATAAAATCTAGAGTTGGTAGGCTGCAGGGGCATACTGCCTGAGACTTAAAAAAACAAAACAAGCCCTGGCCTATGTTGCTCAATGGTTAGACGGGTCAGTCCGAACACTGAAGGGTCAAGGGCATTTACTTGGGTTGTAGGTTCCATTCCCAGCCCCTGTTCAGAGCATATGCAAAAGGCAACCAATCAAGAGACAAATGATGTTTCTCTATCTCCTCTGCCCCCTTCCATTCTCTCTAAAAAAAAAGAAAAAAAAAAAGGGAAAAATATCCTCAGGTGAGGATTTATAAAAAAAATAATTAGCCAAATAACCTGTCAATCCTACAGTCAAAAGAACCAACACTGAAAACATATCATACAAATTGCACCCAAAGGTATTATTAAAACAAATAGTTCATATTAAAAACTTCTTTTAAAAAGCTTAAACCTTAATTTAAATTATGAAATATCAAACAGGATCTAAAACATTAAAAATAAAATACAGCTTAATAAAAAGATAAACATCATTGCTTAAAATCAAGTAAACCAAAATACATAGTCATGTAATCTACACTAATAAAAGAGAAACATGCAAATTGACCATCACTCCACTATGCCCATCAGCTAATCAGAGTGAGTATGCAAATCAACCCAACTAAGATGGTGGTCGCCATGGAGCTGCAGCAAGCAGGAGGTTTGGGTTTCCCCCGGCGATGGAGGAAGCCAAGCTTCCTGGCCGGCCCTGGCCTCCGCTCAAGGCTACAAAATTTCAATTATAGAAGATAAATAAACCCCAGCCTTGGCCTATGCTTGGGTCACCGGAGGGGATGGCCGGCCTGCAAACCACCACAGGCCCCTCGCCCAGGCCGCCCCATGCCCCAAAGGAATACCCACCCTGATCTGGGGCAGCCTTCAGGGCAAATCAGCCAGTCCTGACTCATACACCAGGCCTCTATACTATCTAATAAAATAATAATATGCAAATTGACTGTCATTCCAACACACAAGATGGCTGCCCCCGTGTGGTCAAAGATGGCTGCCCCCATGTGGACACAAGATAGCCAGCAGGGGAGGGCAGTTGGGAGGCACCAGGCCTGCAAGGGAGGGCAGTTGTGGGTGATCAGGCCTGCAGAGGAGGGCAGTTAGGGGTGACTAGGCCAGCAGAGGAGGGAAGTTGAGGACGACCAGGCCTGCAGGAAAAAGCAGTTGGGGGGTACACTGAAAACATATCATACAAATTGCACCTGCAGGAAAGAGCAGTTAGTGGTGACCAAGCCTACAGGGGAGGGCAGTTGTGGGGAGCGGCTGGGGGGGAGGGAGGTTTTAACAGACCAGCTAGGGAAAGCAGTTAGGGGCAATGAGGCTGATAGGAGAGGGCAGTTAAGGGTGACTGGGTGGGCAGGGAAGGACAGTTGGGAGCAATTGGGCTAGCAGAAAACAGGCATCAATCAGGCTGGCAGGCGAGTCGCTAGGGGGTGATCAGGCTGGCAGGCAGAAGTGGTTAGGGGCAATCAGGAAGGCAGGCAGGTGAGCAGTTGGGAGCCAGCAGTCCTGGATTGTGAGAGGGATGGGGTCCCAGATTGGAGAGGGTGCAGGCCTCTAGTATAAAATATGGTCTTAAACCAACTCAGGGCATAAAAACCTTATTATTTTGAGATTGGTCACAGGTGTTTAAGTTTTAGAAACTTTTAGCATAATTGAATGCCAGCAAAATATTCTGAGGTTCTTCAAGTTTAAAGCAAAATAAAGTCTATTACTTAGGCACAAAGGATTACAAGAGTCTCAGGAATATTTCTTAAACATCTAACCTTGATTTGAGTCTTCCGAATTCATATTTTCTCCAAGTGCACTCTCTAACATTTCTTCATCTTCATCATCTTCATGTAGGTCTTTTGAAATTAATTGCCTAGCTAATTTCATATTCAGTCCTTCATTGTAGTGCAGCTTCCTTTTCATTTCAAACTGTCGCTTTTTTTCTGTAAAATACAAAAAATAAGCTTAGAAGTCTTTAGCTCAAGGACTGGCAAACTTTATAGGCTATATCTGTTGTTATTGCCGGAACAGTGACACTCGTTTTTAATGCTTAAGGTTGCTTTTTTGATCAAAGGCAGAGCTGAGTAGTTGCAATAGAATATGGCTTTTAAAACCTGAAATATTTACTTTCTAGTCTTTTCAGAAAAAGTTTGCCAACTTCTGCTTTAGATGGTTCTTAATTGGAATACAGGAATAAAGCCATTTAGTAGTTCTATTTGTGAAGAAAATTTAAAGATATTGAAAAACTTTCCAGAAAGAGTTGAATAGGGGGGAAAAAAGCAAACTATAATACCGTGTGTGTGTGTGTGTGTGTGTGTGTGTGTGTGTGTGTGTGTGTTGACAGTATGAGTAGAAATTGATGAGTATTATGTACAAGTATTATATTCAAAGCCTGCATATATGTGCATGCATAAACATGGAGAGAAAATAAGTAAGAGTGGCTAAGTCTGGGCCAAGAAACTATGGGATAATTTTAATATTTTTAAGTTTTTATTTTTAATATATATATATTTTTTATTGATTTTTTACAGAGAGGAAGAGAGAGGAATAGAGAGTTAGAAACATCAATGAGAGAGGATCATTGATCAGCTGCCTCTTGCACACCCCCTACTGGGGATGTGCCCACATCCAAGGTATATGCCCTTGACTGGAATTGAACCCGGGACCTTTCAGTCCGCAGGCTGACGCTCTATCACCTGAGCCAAACCGGTTTCGGCTAAGTTTTTATTTTTATAATTAAGAAAAAGATTTCTTTAAGAAATTCTTATTATTCATTAAGAAATTACTAGGATTTAAAACAATGTTGCTGCCCAAACCGGTTTGGCTCAATGGATAGAGCGTCGGCCTCCGGACTCCAGGGTCCCGAGTTCGATTCCAGTCAAGGGCATGTACCTGAATTGCCGGCATGTCCCCAGTAGGGGGTGTGCAAGAGGCAGCTGATCTATGTTACTCTCTCATCGATGTTTCTGGCTTTCTATCCCTCTCCCTTCTTCTCTGTAAAAAAAATCAATAAAATATATTAAAAAAATAAAATAAAATAAAAAATAAAACAATGTTGCCTAAAAATGCCCCGAGTAATTTTAAGAAAAATCTGTTATTACAGTGAAATAATATGGACTACTCTTTTATTTATATTCACCATAGAAACATTAAACAAGTAACAAATAAACATAGATGATCATATTTAATAGATAGCATTTTAAAGATCAACTGTTTATGGAGAAATAATTCTAAGATTTTAAAATTTCTTAGACCAGTAAATTAAAATAAAAAGGGAGTTTACATAAAATTGCCAACTATTTATTCAAACAAGAGAGCATTCAAACTCATTCACCATAGTTTTATTATGGCATTCATAAACATTTTAATGCCAAAAAGGCACCAAGAAATAAAAATCTCTCAGAATACTGCTATTCAAAGTACTTTCTCAATGTCCTCTAATTCCAAGTTTTTATCATCATGTATACTTATGTTTTACAGGCATTTATTGTTCATATCACACTCATCAATCACTTTCAAGAAGTTCTGAGACCAACATCCATTTCAGCATTCCATAAAGATCTTGCCAAGTATCTTTTCTTTTTCTCTGATTATAGATTATTTTGTAACTTGTTTTCACTCTTTCAGAGTACCATATTGTAATGAAGAATGAAATTAAGAGGGGGGGAAAAAAGGCCATTAAAAAGACCAAGTTCTCATGACTAAATTTTTAGTTATGCCTTTATGTACCTGGAGTACAAACTTAGGTCTGTCTGACTCCATAGCCAGTATCTTAACTGCTACCCTATCAGTTACAAGACATTTTTTTCTAAAAATTTCTGTCAACAAACAAGGCTTTTTAAGACATGTAATTTGTTTATAAGTAATTAACATCTATACATATATACATATCATTAACTCTACTAGTGGAAATTGAACATGTGAAATTGCCAACTACTCAATAGTTCCCCCTGCTGGCTAATTCCCAGAAGTACAATTTAAAGAAAAAATCCTTAATGAAAATTGTTAATAATAAATTCCCTGTTTTCAATAGATCATGTTTTTAGAGAATAATGAAGAAAACAAGATATAGAATTTCTATCTGAAACCCTTTTAAGGGCCTTTTAGGGTATATGGTGGGAAAATATAAGTCAGGAAGTCACTGTGGGTACAAAAAATATAATACAACTTGAGATTATGCTATTTGTAAAATTTCTATTTTGTATAACAATTAGGCTCAGGCCATCATGATTTCATTGAATAAACTATATTCTAAGGATGTAAGAAAGGAATAGCAAATTATACCTTAGCAGTTGCCTATGGCAACGATTCTGAACTTCTTTTACAATATATTATATTATAGGTAGTCCCCACATTTCAAAGCTCTAAGTACACTGCTACTCTCTTTTTTTCTATGAGGGTATGTGGGTCTTTCTTGCATCTTTTTCTTTGTATACATAGGCTTGTGGGTTTTTTCCTTTTAAAAATAGTTTAAATTATATAAACAATTTTGAATTCTTAGATTCTACATTCATATGATTCAAAAGGTATAAAAATCAAGGTGAAATATCTTCCTTCTCTCTGAACCTCCATACATAACCACTGTTACTGTAAAAACAGAAACAATGAGTAGATAGAAATGCCTTAACTGTATATGTGCTATATGGACTACAAAGGCCTTTCCATCCTTGTTGAGAGATTATCTTTATCTTTTTTCCTATGACACTATCATTCTTTGTATGATGGAACTTAATAAAAATCTTCTTACTATGTCTGACTATCTGGGATCATTAAGTTTTTCTGCCTTAAAACAGAAAAAGCACAAACAACTGGCAAATTAGCTTTTATTTCTATCCACTTTAAAACCACCCAAACACTCAATGACTCTAAAAGCATTAATCTGCCGAAACTGGTTTGGCTCAGTGGTAGAGCGTCGGTCTGCGGACTGAAGGGTCCCAAGTTCGATTCCAGTCAAGGGCATGTACATTGGTTGCGGGTACATCCCCGGTAGGGGGTGTGCAAGAGGCAGCTGGTCGATGTTTCTCTCTCATCGACGTTTCTAGCTCTCTATCCCTCTCCCTTCCTCTCTGTAGAAAAATCAATAAAATATATTTTTTAAAAAAAGCATTAATCTAATAAATATTTACTGAGCATCTACTCTATGCCAGGCACTAAAAAAAGTACAAAGGGACACCAATAATTACTTTAAAGATGGTAATATTTTCCCAAATTCTTGATATTGAGGTGGAAAGACTGTCAATACAATAAACACACATAAGTAGAATTTGAATTTAAAAATGTTGCTCCCAATCTCCCTTATCTATTATACTTTCCAAAAAACAACAACAACCATTTTACCATCTTCCAAATAATGGGTTTATTTTAAGCAAAAATTATTAGCATAATGCTGAAAGAAGAACAGGAAATAAACTACCTTGTTCTTCAGGTGAGAGGTCACTGTCTTCATCTTCACTGCTGTCTTCTACATGAACCTGATACCTTGGCTCCGAGCCTTCAGCAGCAGCTAATCTAAACAATCATTTGCAAAGAAATCAGCACTCTGATATTCTTACATTAACTCAGTGGCTTGTTCAACTTTTGAGTATCATTAAAACATCATTAACATTTGAGTACCATTAAAACATCACTAACTTACTAGCTATAACTTGATGAGGAAAGTAAAAAGCAAGAGAGTGAGCATGAGTGTAGAAACCAAAATGCAACAAGAAGACTGGAGGGTAAGAAACCAATGAACAGCAAAGAAATAGAGCTTTTGTTTAGAAATTCAGTTATTTTTGCCTTTCTCACATTCACCGTTAAAACGCAGGAGGCGGGATATTAAAAAAACAAACCACCATCAGTGTATTAGGCTCTGGTACTCTAATCGTTCTGTCACCTGCACACCTTGATTTTAATCTAGAAACAAGACTATAAAAGTTGTTATGAAAAATCCAGATATACTTAGCACATGCTTTTTATTTACACTTGTACAAGTAAAATGCCTTTAACTGCACAATTAAAAACAGCATAAGTGAAAATGCTTTATAGTCATCAGTACTTACTTCTTAGCTAAGGAATCTGGGGTCAGGGCATCAGTGTTTTCTGAATCACTCAATGCATCTTCATCATCACCTATCATACTAGGACAACAAGCAGATCATAATTAATAATAGAACTATAATTTCTCAAGCAGAAAAACAAGGTAAATATAATCCAATTGATTTACTTAAAATATCAAGGCATTTATAGGTCTGTTGTCATCTTTGAAGCTTTAGTTTCAATCCAATGCAAATATTTACAAGTGAATGATTAAAAAACAACACTACTGCAACCATGAAGATAAATACTGAAAATTCAAACCATCGGAAAAAAATACTTCGATTATTCCATTCAGTGGGGATGGGGGGACACAAATAATGCAAAAACAAACAAAACCACCTCACTGTTTTAGAATATATACTGTTATGTTTAGTGGGAAAAACCAAGATGGCAGCACAGGCAAACAACTGGTCTGCCGCCTCGCACAACAATTTCAAAACTACAACTAATATACAGGATGTGTATCACCCAAAAACACGGGAAGGCTGGCTGAAAGAGAAAGGAGCGCAAGCGCTAAAAAGCTGAGGAGCCTAAGTATGGAGGAACGTGAATCGGGCTGGTGGCAGGCAACTGGGCACGCGGCTTTTTTTCAACCAGAAGGGAAACAAGCTCCTGATCATTTTGAAATCCAGCTTCAGCCTATGGGGAGAAGCTGGTCTGTCGGCCATCAGGTCCGAAAGTGAGGGTGACTCTCTTGCAGAGGTGCGTGCAGCAATCATTGTTTACTGCGCTGGGTCACAGGGTCGCCAGGACTTGGAAATGCGGGGACTTGGAAACACGGTAGGGCAGAGAAGGCTGCCAGCAGCCATTGCTTTTTGCCACGTCCCAGCCTAAGACCCCACCCCACCCTGAGGACCCACCCCAAGGCCTTGCTCTGCACATTCTACAGACCCGCCCAGGCACCGCATAGCTGCTTTTGCATATAAATGGCCTGTATTGTGGCAGCTTAACAAAATAAATTGCAGCTCCATCAACAAAACCGCCAAGTCCCAAGCAAAGAGGACAAAACTGTAGTTCTTGTGGTAGCTATTGCTGGGAGGTCTCAGACAATAGCTGAACTGCACCCTATTGGAGATCCGGAAACTAGTGTATCTAGTGGTCGGTGTGAGATGACACCACATTTCAACTACTCTCATAAAGGACACATTCAAGAGACAGACTCAGTGAGCACCAAAGCCCTACGGGAACAAGTCCTCCCTCACAAACATGTCTCCAGCACAGCAATTCTTCCATTATAGACACAGCAGGACCCCATAGCAATTGGCCTGGATGTCAACTCCTCTCAGTGACACCAACAACAATCAAGACTTAACTACAACAAGGCTGTACACACAGTCCACAAAGGGGTGCACCAAGAGTGTCCACATCAGGCAACTAGAGGCTGACCCATTGAACCATATAGAACACCCAGACCCACAAAGCGACCCTACCAACTCAGGGAAACAGTGAAAATGCCGAGAAAAGGAAACAGATCTCAAACAAAAGAAATGGAGAACAAAAGACTGGATATAGAGTTCTAAACCACGATTATAAGGTTTTTCAAGAATTTCCTAGAAAAGGCCGATAAACTTAACGAGACCCTCGAGGATATAAAAAGGACTAACTAGAAATTAAACATACATTGACTGAAATAAAAAATATTATACAGAGACCCAACAGCAGACTAGAAGAACACAAGAAACAAGTCAAAGAGCTAGAATACAAAGAGGAAAGAGTCACTCCTCTGCAGAAGCAAGAAGAGAAGAGAATCCAGAAAGTTGGAAGATAGCGTAAGAAGCCTCTGGGACAACTTCAAGCATGCGAACATCAGAATTATGGGAGTGCCAGAAGAAGAGAGAGAGCAAGACACTGAAAACCTAATTGAAGAAATAATGACAGAAAACTTCCCCCACCTGGTGAAAGAAATACTTACAAGTCCAAGAAGCGCACAGAACCCCAAACAAAAGGAATCCAAAGAGGACCACACCAAGACACATCATAATTAAAATGCCAAGAGCAAAAGACAAACAGAGAATCTTACAAGCAGCAAGAGAAAAACAAGTTACCTACAAGGGAGCACCCATATGACTATCAGCTGATTTCTCAACAGAAACCATGCAGGCCAAATGGGAGTGGCAAGAAATATTCAAAGTGATAAATAGCAAGAACCTATAACCAAGATTACTCTACCCAGCAAAGTTATCATTCAGAATTGAAGGGCAGATAAAAAGCTTCACAGATCAGAAAAAGTTAAAGGAGTACGTCACCACCAAACTAGTATTATATCGGGTCTAGTAATAATTAATATCGTTTTTTAACATTCGTTTAAAATCTTGCTTGGCATTGACTTGTATTGACATAACCTTCAAACACGTGGTATCTACAGAACGTGTGAAGTGCAATTAACAAGTTTTGCTTGAAAAAGTTTGTGTTTGGTTTGGTTTTTGTTGCAAAACTAGGGCTAAGAAGATGGCGGATGAAGAGCATATTCGGCACTGCATGCTTTACGAGTTCCAATTAGGAAGAAAAGCAAGTGAGGCTGCAAAAAACATCTGTAGTGCTCTTGGTCAAGATGCAGTTAGCGCCAGAAAATGCCAGCGTTGGTTTGAGAAATTTCGCGAGGGAAATTTTTCGTTAGATGACAAGAGTGGTCGAGGCCATGTGTCCAATTTTGATCAAGAAGCTCTTCAAGCTCTTTTGGTGCAAAATCCTCAAATTACCAACAAGAGCTTGCGACAACTTTAAATTGTTCACAAAAAACAATTTCCAATCAATTGAGTGCTCTTGGCAAAGTCCAAAAGTTTGGAAAATGGGTTCCTCATGAGTTGACCAACAACAACCGTAATCAAAGAGTCACAATTTGCAGTTCGCTCCTCTCTCGTCAAAACCGTTTGCCGTTTTTAGAGCAAATTGTTACTGGAGATGAAAAATGGGTGCTGTATGTTGATTTGAAAAGGCGGCCTCAATGGTTGGACAAAAATGAGGCTCCGCAGCCCACGCCAAAACCCGACTTGCATGCGAAAAAAGTGATGTTGTGTGTTTGGTGGAATTTTAAAGAAATTCTTCATTATGAACTTTTACCATCTACCCAAACCATTACAAGTGCAGTGTATAGTGCCCAATTGGAAAGGTTAGCCCAAGCTTTAAGAGAAAAAGAACCCACGCTGATTACCGTATTTTTCGGACCATAAAGACGCACTTTTTTCCCCCAGAAGTGGGGGGAAAAAGTCCCTGCGTCTTATGGTCCAAATATAGCCTACACATATACTTTAAAAAAAAAAAAGTTTTTTTACTTGCCCGGCTCTGTGTGGTCTCTGTGTGCTTGCCCGGCTCTAAAATGGTTCTAAATGCTGCTGTTTACTTTACAGGGTTGATTACATGTGTTTATGACTGTGATGTTGGGTTTTAATGCACATAAAATATTTTAGGACACTATTTGTTTCAGAATCTTTTTTTCTTCATTTCCCTTCTCTAAAAACTGGTGCGTCTTATGGTCCGGAGCGTCTTATGGTCCGAAAAATATGGTAATCGGAAGGGCGTAATTCTTTACCACGATAACGCACGACCGCATACTGCAAGAATCACTGCTGAAAAACTGCGCCAGTTGGAATGGGAAGTTCTCCCTCAACCTGCATATTCTCCTGATATTGCCCCTTCCGATTACCATTTGTTTCGTTCTTTGCAAAACTTTCTTCTTGGAAAAAAATTTAATAATGAAGAATGCCTCAAAAATGCATTGACCGAATTTTTTGCATCAAAATCACAAGAATTTTAAAACAGAGGGATTAAAATGCTTCCTGAGCGTTGGGCACAAGTAGTAGAAAACAACGGCAACTATATTGTTGATTTAATTTTGTTGTATTGTTTAAATAAATTCGATTAAAAAAAAAAAAAGTATTGAAAAAGACATTAATTATTACTAGACCTAATATGAAATGCTAAAAGGTGTTCTTTAAAAAGAGGAAAAGAAGAAAAAAGTAAAGACAAAAATTATGAGCAACAAATACATATCTATCAACGAGTGAATCTAAAAGTCAAGTGAATTAAAAACCTGAGGAACAGAATAAACTGGTGAATATAATAGAATCAGGGGCATAGAATAGGAGGGGATTGATAATTCTCAGGGGGAAAGGGGTGTCTGTGTGGGGGGTATGGGAAGAGACTGGACAAAAATCATACACTTATGGATGGGGGAGGAAGGGGAGAGAAGGTAAGGGCAAAGGGTGGGGTGGGGACCAGGTGGAGGGATGCTATAGGGGAGAAAAAGGAGAAACAATTATAATAATCTGAACAATAAAAATAAAGGTTTATTAAGAAAAAAAAGAAAAAAAGAATATATACTGTTACATAACCTGAAGATGAGACAAAGGGATTTATGCAGTCATAAGTTTAGGTAAAAATAACAAAATATTTATTGTCTTATTTTCCATACAAACACTATAAGCCTACTTTTTTTTTTTTATTCCTCACCTGAGGATATTTTTCCATTGCTTTTCAGAGAAAGTATATGGGGAGTGGGGGAGAAAGAAATACTGATGTGAGACACATGTACTGGTTGCCTCCTGCATGTGCTCAAATGGGGCCAGGGATCGAACCCGTAATCTTTTGATGTGTGGGCCAACACTCATCACTGAGCAACAATGGCCATGGCTATAAAAAGTCTTTTCTTTTCCTCCATCTTAAAAACCAACAAACAAATAAAAACCTCTTCAAGAAAAAAAGAGCTAGTAAAACTGAGCATCAAGAGAACGTAAGCACATACATCTGTACACACACACGGCCTCAATCATTTAGGGACCAAATAACTTTTTTTTTTTTTAAATAAATCTTTATTGTTCAGATTATTACAAATGTGATCCTCTTCCCCCTCTCAATTGCTCCCCTTCACCAGGTTCCCACCCCACCCTCTGTCCTTTCCCCATCCCCCATTGTCCTCATCCATAGGTGCACAGTTTTTGTTCAGTCTCTTCCCGCACCCCCACTCCCCTTTTCCCTGAGAATCGTCAGTCCACTCCCCTTCCATACCTCTGATTCTATTATATTCACCAGTTAATATTGTTCATCAGATTTTTAAATTCCCTTGGTTTTTAGATTCACTTGTTGATACTACGTATTTGTTGATCATAATTTTTATCTTTATCTTCTTCCTCTTCCTAAATAACCTCCTTCAGCAATTCATATAATTTTGGTTTGGTGGTGATGAACTCTTTTAGCTTTTTTTTTATTTGTGAAGCTCTTTATCTGTCCTTTGATTCTGAGTGATAGCTTTGCTGGGTAGATTATTTTTGGCTGTAGGTTCTTGTTATTCATCACCTTGAATATTTCTTGCCATTCCCGTCTGGCCTGCATGGTTTCTGTTGAGAAATCAGCTGACAATCTTATGGGTGCTCCTTTATAGTCACTACCTGCTTTTCTCTTGCTGCTTTTAATATTCTCTCTTTGTCTTTTGCTCTTGGAATTTTAATTATGATATGTCTTGGTGTGGTCCTCCTTGGATTCCTTTTGTTTGGAGTTCTGCGGGCTTCCTAGACTTGTAAGTCTATTTCTTTCCCCAGGTGGGGGAAATTTTCTGTCACTATTTCTTCTAGTACTCTTTCGGTATCTTGCTCTCTCTCTTCTGGAATCCCCATAATTCTGATGTTGGTTCGCTTGAAATTGTCCCAGAGGTTTCTTACACTATCTTCAACTTTCTGGATTCTTTTATCTTCTCCCTTCTGCAGAGGAGTGTCCTCTGGCTCTTTGTGTTCTAAATCTTTGTCTTGATTCTTACGATCTTCCAGTCTGTTTTTAGGACTTTGTATAATATTTTTTATTTCAGACAATGTTTTCTTCATTTCTTGTTGATCCCTTATTATTTCTAGTTGCTCCCTTTTCATATCCTCATAGGTCTCATTTATTTTATCGGCCTTTTTTAGGATATTGTTGAATAACCTTATAACTGTAGTTTTGAACTCAATGTCCAATCTTTTCTTTTCCTCCATCTCCTTCCTTTGTGTCCTTCTTCTTGTCTGCATTTTAGTTGTTTCCCTGATTTGATGGAATAGCTTTGTGTGCTAGGTGTTCTGGTAGAGCCCAGTAGCACAGCCTTCCCAGTTACCTGCTGTGGACAGTCTTGGTGTAGCCCTTTGTGGGCTGTGTGTGCAGTCTTGTTAAGCCTTGCTTATTGTTGGTATCCAAATAACTTTTGAGACTCTCAGAGGAAGAATATGAGGAAGGTCGAGAGAGAGAGAGAGAAAAAAGTGTATCTAACTGTGGAGAGTGGCTGCAGCGTTCAGACAGAATCAAGCCTTGGACGAACTTGTGGCAAAGCCACATACAAGTCCCAGCGTGGAGGGCAAAGCCTTCCAGCACAACTATAGCCAAAAGGCTATGGCTGTAAACTTGACCTTATAGTCTGACCCTGAAATCCTAGGTAGCTAAGGGAAGTGGGCTGGGGGGCACAGCAAGTGCTACCTAAATAAAGCTTGATAGAGTTCAGAGAATGGTAACACCAGGAAAGAAGCAGATTTGAAATTCGCAAGAACACTGTAAACATCTTGCCCTTGTTTTGCTTTGTGTGATCTGACTATAATTTAAATAAAGCTTTGGCTTACAGGCTGTATCATTGTTTCCTCATCCAGGCACAGTGATCTACCTGGTCCCAACTATATTCTCTTGTCTGTCTTCTTCAATCCTTCATCGCCCCTCCTCAGGTTAACCACTAGCTATGCTGGACACGGTTCATCTAATACTCTGATTTATTATATTTTAAATATAAAGCCTAAAAATAATGAGTACAGCTATTTTTTTGAATAACAGATCTAAAGTCTTTAGGTATACAATATAGTGGTTAGAGAATCATACTTTACAAAGTGTTCCCCTGAAATTTCCAGTACCCCCTAGCACCATACATATTGAATATATTCCCTACACTGTACTTTTATATACCTGTGAAAGAAGTGAAGGGATTAAGATGTACAAATTGGTAGTTACAAAATAGTCTACTACTTTTATTGAAAAGAAAGAAAGCCCCGACTTTGGCTTCTGGTACAACAAACGGTTTAGACTTTAAAAACAATATAAACTTTTTTATAAAGAATATGTCTAGCCGAAACCGGTTTGGCTCAGTGGATAGAGCTTTGGCCTGCGGCATGAAAGGTTCCGGGTTCGATTCCGGTCAAGGGCATGTACCTTGGTTGTGGGCACATCCCCAGTAGGGGGTGTGCAAGAGGCAGCTGATTGATTATTCTCTCTCATAGATGTTTCTAACTCTATCCCTCTCTCTTCTTCTCTGTAAAAAAATCAATAAAATATATTTTAAAAAAAAGAATATGTTTATTTCTTCCCTCAAGTTCATTAGTATTAGTGTTTCAGTATCTGTACTTCCCATTTCCTTATTTCTTTCTACCCTTGCCAAAATCATGTTTATTCTTTTTACGGTTTTTGTTATCAAGTTATCTCAACTTCGCTTCTTCCAAAGATTTTATCCATTGATTCAAAACAGAATTTCTTAACTTTATTTTAACAATAACTTCCGGATTTATAAACTTAAACTTACACTTCAATGACAAAATATTTCAGTTCTGAAAATCTTTATTTTTTCGATACAAGTTAAGGCATACTCTGCGTTAGGTATTTCCACTTATTTAGAACGCAATCCTCTCAAAATACTTATTGGCACATTATTTTTGTTTTTATACTAATCACTGCCACACACTATTATTTTAAAAATTTTGGAAGACTCAAAATTGGCAACAATAACAATGCACTTATCTAAACCAGTGTTTTTCAACCTTTTTTGGGCAAAGGCACACTTGTTTCATGAAAAAAATCACGAGGCACACCACCATTAGAAAATGTTAAAAAATTTAACTCTGTGCCTATATTGACTATATATGAAGTAATTCTCTTGAATAGGAATCAAATAAACACAAAGAAAGTATTTTATAATTACTTTATTATGAAATATTAAGTAAACAAAATAGTGAAAAATTATAAAATTCTTGTCTTGTCTGCACCTACGGCACACCAGGCAACACTAGTGTGCCGTGGTACAGCGGTTGAAAAACGCTGATCTAAACTACAATATTATTTAAGTAAAAAAGAAAGACATCAAACAGTAGTAATGACCACTTGTCTTTGAATGGGTTAAAAAATAGTTAATATCTGTGAAGTTATTTTCAAAGAGAGACTTGAGTAAGTCACTGATTTCTATTTTGGAAGCAAACAAGCCCATTTTAAAGTTAAGTATTAGTTACATTATTATACAAAATTTGCAGTTGGATTATTAATTAGTGCTCCAGTAACACATATAAAAACAAATTCAAATCAGCTGTTATCCAGAAGTTCATATCAAATGCAAAATGTAAACAAGTAAAAAAAAGGAATGATGTCTACAAAACATTACCGGTGGTATGGAGTGCTTGGTTCATCTATTTTCATCAAACCATAGTCTTTGTCTGCTGGATGATATGTCGCCAGGATGTTCATTTCATCCCACTTCTGGGATTTTTTACTAAAATTAAAAGAAAAAGAAAGATATTTTCCTCAAAACAATAAAAGATAAAAAAATGTGCACATCTAAAATTCACAAACATCTAAAAATATGTTTGTATTGACTTTTAGAGAAAGGGAGAGGGATAAAGAGATAGAAACATCGACGAGAGAGAACAATATCAGTAGGCTGCCTCCTGCATGTACCCCTATACTGGGGAACAAGCCCACAATTGGGGCATGTGCCTTAACCAGGCGACCTTTTGGTTCCTGGGTGGACACTCAACCACTGAGCCATACCGACTGGGTGAAAATTCACAAACATCAGTTTCTAGTTGACTGCTAACTTCTATTTTTACAGCTACTTTATTGGAATAGAAACTGACTTAGGATAAAAACCATGTCATTAAAATAAAATCTTGGTAAATATTTTATAAAATACTCAGTGTCCACATATTAAAAACATATTATTCAGAATCTTAACCAGGCATTCAAAACACTGTGTGACATATGTAGTCTTCACCTGATCTACAGAATTAAAATAGTAAAAATTGAAATTTATACTTTGTTTGATCTCTCAATACTTTAGGATTTTTGTTACTATATATTAGAAACAGTGTGATTAAAAAAAAGCAAACAGGAATTTTTTGGGGCCCAATATTTTCATATATCCATACTAATAAAAAGAATCAGGCTTGCTCTCCCTCTCAGGAGCACACCCCCATGCTGCCCCTCCTTTTTCCCCCACAGGAATGCATCTCCTAAGCTCTAAGGGACCCCATGAGGCTTGCAACCAGGATAGCAATGGGCAGCTGCAGTTCACATTCCCTGAATCTATTCTCAAGGCCCCTTATTCTCTGAATTCTTAGTGAACCAAAGCAGCCTATCTAGGCTCATTTCCCCAGTCTTTGTTTCATTGTCACCAACTTTAATAAACAATCTCTATTATTCAACAAAAAATCAGAACATTAAATGATAGGGAAAACTTCATTAAATTCATATACCACTAAATAAAGATTTAGTTTGCAAAAAAATTAAGATTATAGTTCAATTTTTAAATCTAGAAAAATAAGGCTTTGCTCAGAAATGGAATACAGCAGTCCCCCTTTATCTCTTGAGGACACATTAGAATATCTGAAATTACAGATAATTCTGAACCTTATATATACTATGTTTTTCCCTGTATATACATACTTATAATAAAGTTTAATTTATACTAGTAAACTCGGCACAGTAAGAGAGTAACAATAGAATAGCACAATTATAATGATATACTGTGATAAAAGTTATGTGAATGTGGTCTCAATATATTGTACTCATCACCTTTCTTGTGATGATGTGAGATGACAATGCCTATGTAATGAGATGAACTGAGGTGAACGAACATAGGCATTGTAATATAGCATTAGGCTACTGTGCTTCAACAAAAACACTGTGATACCTGAACAGTTGATCTGATAACCAAATGGCTATTAAGTGACTGGAGGTAGGAAGTGTACTAGTACACAATGTGAATACGCTGGACAAAGGGATGATTCACACTGAGGTTTCATCATGCTTAGAGAGGTGCACAATGAATTATTGAGCATTTTTTCAAGTCTCTTGGCCATTTATTTGTACGTCCTCTTTGGGCAAGTGTCTATTCAGGTCCTCTGCCCAGCTTTAAATTAGACTGTCTTCCTTTTGTTAAGTTGTATGAGCACTTTATATAATGTGGAAATTAACCCATCAGATGTTTCACTGGCAAATATGTTCTCCCAACTGTGGGTTTCCCTTTTCATTTTGCTGGTTTCTTTAGCTGTGCAGAAGCTTTTCAGTTTAATGTAGTCTCATTTATTTATTTTTTTCCTTTGTTTCTCTTGCCCTAGGAGAGTTATTGGTAAAAATTCTGCTACAGGAGATGTCTGAGGTTTTGCTGCCTATATTTTCTTCTAAGATTTATATGGTTTCACGTCTTACATTTAAGTCTTTTATCCATTTTTAGTTTATTCTTGTGTATGATATGTTAGTGGTCTAGTTTCACTTTTTTTGCACACACCTGTCCAATTTCCCCAGCACTATTTATTGAAGAAACTCTTTACTCTCTTATATGCTCTTGCCTCATTTGTCAAATATTATTGACAATTGGCTTGGGTCGATTTCTGGGTTCTCAGTTCTGTTCCATTGATCTATATGCCTATTCTTGTATCAGTGCCAGGCTGTTTTGATTAACAATAAAACATGGTTTTGTAGTATAACCTGATATTGTCTTTTGATACTTCCAACTTTGTTCTCCTTTCTCAAGATATCTGCGGCTGTTCAGGGTTTTTTGTTCCATATACATTTTTAGAGTATTTGTTCTAGATCTGTGAAATATGTAATTGGTATTTTAATAGAGATTGCACTGAATCTGCAGATTTAGATTGCTTTGGGTAGTATGGACATTTTAATGATGTTACCTCATTTCAATCCATGAACATGGTATATTCTTCCACTTATTTGTAGCTTCCTCTATCTCTTTTTTCAAAGTCCAGTAGTTTTTTAAGTACAGGTCTTTTACCTTCCTGGTTAAATTAATTCCTATGTTTGCTTATTTATTTGCAATAATAAAAGGAATTATTATTATTATTTTTAGTTTCTCTTTCAGAGAGACCATTATTGGTATATAAAAATGCCATTGATTTCTGGATATTAATTTTGTATCCTGCTACTTTGCCGAATATGCTTATGAAGTCTAGTAGTTTTTTTGTGGATTCTGTAGGATTTTCCATGTGTAATATCATGTCATCTATGAATAATGACAGTTTTACTTTCTCCTTGACAATTTTAATGCCTTTTATCTTTTCTTCTTGGCTGACTGCTGTAGCTAGAACTTAACAGTACTATGTTGAATAAGAGTGGTGAAAACAGACATCCCTGTCTTGTACCTGGTTCTTAAGGGAAACACTTTTAGTCTTTGCTCCTTGACTATGATGTTGGTTTCAATGTCCTAATCATCAGAAAAATGCAATTAAAATGACAATGAGGTATCACCTCACACCTGACAGAATGACTACCATCAATAAATCAACAAACAACAAGTGCTGGTGATACTGTGGAGAAAAAGGAACCCTCATACACTGTTGGAGGGAATGCAGACTGGTGCAGTCACTATGAAAAACAGTGTGGAGTTTCCTCAAAAAAATTAAAAAATGGAACTGCTATTTGATCCTGTGATCAAACTTCTAGGAATATATTCTAAGAAGCCTGAAACACCAATCAGAAAGAATGTATGCACCCCTATGTCCATAGCAGCACAATTTACAGTAGCTAAGATCTGGAAACTGCCCAAGTGCCCATCAGCAGATGAATGGATAAAAAAGCTGTGGTACATTTACACAATGGAATACCATGCAGCTGTAAAAAAGAAGGACCTCTAACTCTTTCAGACAGCATGGAGGGACCTGGAAATTATTATGCTAATGAAATAAGCCAGTCAGAGAAAGACAAATATCACATGATCTCACTCATATGTGGAATCTAATGAATAGCATAAATTGAACTAGGAGCATGGAAACATGGAACAGACTGATGAATCTCAGAGGGAAGGGTGGTGGTGGTAGTGGTGGTGGGATGGCAGGAAGAGATTAACCAAAGAACTTACTATGTGCATATATGCATTACCCATGGACACAGACAATAGTGTGGTAAAAGCCTGTGATGGGGTGGGAACTTTGTAGAGGGGAGCAATGGGGGAAAACGGAAGGGGACATATGTAATACTCTCAACAATAAAGATAAAAAAGAAGTGAAAATAAAATAAAATTTATGAATTATTTCTGGAATTCATTTAATATTCTTATTTTAAGATTTTATTTTTCAGTTGTGCTGTTTACATTCAAAATTATTTTGTATTAGTGTCAAGTAAACAGCATAATGGTTAGTCTTTACAAAGCATTTCCCCAATATTTCTAGTACCCTCCTGGCACCATACAGAGGAATTACAATATTACTGACTATATCACTTATGCTGTACTTGACATTTCCATGCTATTTCATAACTACCAATTTGTATTTCTTTAAAACTTTTAAAAATATATATTTTTTTTATTGGTTTCAGAAAGGGAGAGGGAGAGATAGAAGTATCAATGTTAAGCATCATTGATTAGCTGCCTCCTGCTCAATCTCCTACTGGGGATTGAGCCCACAACCCAGGCATGTGCCCTTGACCAGAATCAAACCCAGGACCCTTCAGTCCACAGGCCGATGCTCTATCCACTGAGCTAGACTGGGTAGGGCCCAATTTGTATTTCTTAATCCTTTCAACTTTTTCAGCCAGTCCCCTAACCACCTTACCCGCTGGCAACCATTAGTGTGCTCTCTGTATCTGAGTGTTTCTATTTTATTTGTTTATTTTGCTCTTTAGACTCCACATGTAAGTGAAAGCATATGCTATTTGTCTTTCTCTAATGGAGTTAATTCACTATGCATAATACCCTCTAGGTCCAAATATGCTGTTCTTAAATGGTAAGGTTTCATTCTTTTTATGGTCAAGTAATATTCCATTATGATATATATGTACCAATCTTGTTTATCCACTTGTCTATTGATGAGTGCTTGGGATGCTTCCATATCTTAGCTATTGTAAATAACACTGCAATAAACATAGGAATGCATTTATTCTCTCGAATTAGTATTTATGATTCTTTGGATATATTCCCAGAAATGCAATTGCCGAGTCTCAAGGAAGTTCCAATTTTTATTTTTTAGGATCTTCCATACTGGTTTTCATAGTGGATGTACCAATCTGCATTCCCACTAAAAGTGATCAAGGGGTCCCTTTTCACCACATCCTTGCCAGCACTTGCTTGCTGATTTACTGATGATAGCCATTATGACAGGTGTAAAGTGGGGGTATGTCACTGTGGTTTATATTTGCATTTCTCTGATGATTAATGATGCTTAGCATCTTTTTATATGTCTATTGACCATCTGTATGTCCTCTTTGGAGAAATGTCTATTCAGGGCCTCTGTCCATATTTTAATTGGATTGGTTGTTTTTTGT